TCTTTGCTTTGCCTAAGGATAAACAGTAGTTCTCAAAGGTGGCTTATTCAGCAAAACAGTTTATGGGTGAATTCTTTATGAGTGAAGTTGTGAGAGCTTTTGCTGGGAGTGTTAAGATTGCAGCAGAAATAGTGTGAGAATTGTGAAGAGTTGACTTTATTGACAATGGAATTTTGGAAACTTTAATTCAATTTATGTGATAAAAGTTAGTCCACATATATGTTTTTCTCCCTTTGAACAGGCCTTTCAACTATTTTTCCCTTAAGACAATAAAAGAGGCAGCCTTAAAATATTTCATATGACATGAGTCACTTGATTTTTCAATTAAAAGATGCCCAACAAAATTTCTTCCAATGCTCTGGTATTTTACCTTATGGATTGGATTATGCTTATAAAGTTTGCAAAACAGTAAAAAAAATTACAATTTCATGCACAGTTTTAAGTGGATTCACATTCTCAAAATATGGTGACACTATGACAAGAAAAGAACTATACAAAGTAAATTCAGGTTGGCTCAATTTTATGAAATAAGTACATTCAGCCAAACTGTGATTAAATAAGGAAGCAGAGACGGAAAGTTGTTTTGTTTTTCTGGATAGCACGATTAAAACATTTTAAAATTTTGTTAATTTATTCAACAAATATTTATTGAGCCTACTATCTGCCAACACTTTTTTAAGTACTTGGCATAATCAGTGAACAAGACAAAAATCCCTACTTAAAGACTGTAAAAATTTTCAAGTTAAACCTCCCCCAAATTTGAAGAATTTTAAACCCTATCTAAGACCTTTGGATAGCTATTTATTTTCTCTGCTCTTAAAGAACTTGCTGGAAACATTCAAGAAACACTAATCTAGATGCTTTATTTCTATACATATGTAGGTAGTTCATTTGAGGACTAGAAGGCTGCTTGAGTGAGTGTGGGAAAAGTGAGCTGATGGAACTGGGTAACCTTGAGGGATATCTGTGTGACATAGATCAGTCTGGGGAACCTCCTGCTCCCATGACAAAACAGAACAGACCTGGGTCCAGAAATTTCATGTTCTCAGACCCTCGTCTTTTCCACCAGACAGCAGTGGATCAACACTGAATATTCTTACTCTTGGGTATCTATGCTCACCCACTTCATGTATACAAGTTTGTGATATTCTAGATTATTCTAAAAATGGTCTTACCATTTGATTATGTGCCTGTTGTTTTTTTTTAAAACTTTTATCAGAGAGAAATATTACTTTTCATTTCTGGGGTGTCTAATTTTGCTCTTATTGTCTATTATATGAAGGTATAGATGGCTTACTTTATGGATTCGATTATCTGGATAAAATTTTAGATTCTGGTGATAGTTACAAGAAAATAACAATAACAGGAGCTAAAAAGAGTATCAGTCTTCACCTCATCATCTTTGCCTTTATCTTTTTAAGTCCCTTAAAGTTTGGTCCCCTGATGGTCTCCTATCAATTCTAGTTCCTACAGATATCTCGGATGAGAGTTCAAGCTGCACTGACCCTCTCTTATTTCAGCTTTGTGGTGATTACACTTTTGGTTGCCTATACGTGGGTCCTTCACTGGCTACCCAAGTCTTCTTGGCTCCCAACATCCGTAAAGATTTTTTGTGCTGGTGAAGACCCCTCCATTCTCAGTTCTGATGGAAATTTCCCTCCTTACCACTAGCTGCATCTTCTAACTTTCTTTCATGCTGGTTTCCAGGACTGGGCTTCTAGATCTAGCATCTTACTTTTGCCAATTTCTTGCCCTGGACACTTCATTCTACCCTGGTCCTGGACCTACACTCTGGTCTCAGCTCCTTTATGAAGAATCACCTTGAAGATGACCACCTGCCTGAGTTCTGAGCACGGTCCATCCTGGAGTCTTTGATGTTGTGCTTTTTCAAGGCTCTTGATTTGCCTGGGAAAGCCTAGTATTTGTATTTGTTGAGTTGAATTCATTAGGTTTGGTTCCCTGGGCTACACCACCACCAGCTTCCTTTTTAAAGAGGTGATGTGCCTGGTCTCAACTTCTCTCTCCTTGCCAGGAATTTCCTAAGAAAAATCTATTATCCCCAGTGATCTATCTTCTGAATCTTAACATAGAGACGATTGTCCCCTTTCACTCCTACTGGTAACTTCCTTTAAAAATAGAGTAAATAGTCCAATGGCTATCATTGAAAATTAACTATTTCACTCCAGATATATTTAACTCAGAAAATAATTTACTGAGCTAATTGTAATACAGAACTTCTTGCAAAGATTGAATTGAAAAACACACACACACACACATATTTTAGGAGATGCTAGGTTGAATTGCATACATTTTGAGTTCAGACTTTATAAAAACTTTCAGCTTTAATGAAAATCAGTGTAGAAAAGAAGAAAAACAAAAATATTCTCACTGTATTTAGATGCCGCAGCAGGTGTTTCCACACCTATCCTATCTGGTAGCTTCCAATGACTGAAGGAGATCTCAATATCAAATAGTGGTTTGTCACAAATGTGCCTCAACTAATTTTAAAAAAAATATTTGTAGGGGATCAGATTCTCTTAGGTCCAGATGTGTTTTCAGAATGACATGGAATATGTAGAAGATAATCATGTTTTGTGCATGATAATTTGGCCATCTTTATTGCAAAAACAAAGAAAAGCTATAGATAATTTTTGATAAAGTGAATTATGCAAATACCATTTATATTTTATATTTGGCTTTGACATAAGGGTTTATAGAGAACTTGTGCAAGTGTTATACACATGCACACACAGGCACAAACACACACACACAAACTAAAGGGTTCTTCTCTGCCGCATTCTTATTCCTTTCTGAGATAACCCATAATTTCAGTAATCCTCAGTTGAAATAATTAAGATTTCCTCTCCAAAGCCTGCTAGGGAAAACTTCAATGATACAAGTGTTTCTAACCAAATATTTCAAAAATGTTTACAAATCCCTTAAATCACTCAATGATGGCATAATGAAGGGTATGGTGTTGGGAAGAAAATGCCCATCTGAAATAAAAACTACTGGTTAAAAATCACAATACATCAAAAATATTTTTCAAGGATAATTTCCTTAATAAGTTTTTCCATTCAAATTTACAAAATACTCTAAAAGAGAAAGCAGAGCATTCATATAATCTTTGTTTTAGTTTCTTCATCTTTACAACCAAGGAGTTGTACTAGATGCTAAGTTTTTTCAGCTCTAATGTTTTATGTTTTAGCCAACGTGTTAAATTGTGTTCCACTATTTAAATCATTAATAGAAAACATGGCTTAAAATTATAAAGCCTAATATATAACACTTTTAATTTATAGATAACAAAGGCAAGTCCCAAGGAAGTAATGCGGCTACCCATCCATTTGGGTATCAATGCCATTTCTTCCATATCTTCCTAATCATCAAATAATTTTGATTTTTTATTTGTTTTATTAAAAACTCCATATTCCCACTCCCCAAATCTGGAAAATCTGCTTTAGTAATTATGGGGTGAGGTCAGAAATCTAATTTTGTAAGAGAGCCTCAATATTCTGACTTGAACTTAAAGGTCAGAACCACAGATCCACAGCAAACTACCTGGGATACAGTGATGCAGAGGCACAGGTATGTCGTACAGTTCTTGGGCAGGCTCTCCGATGTTACACAGCAGCATCTTCCTAACAGGTCCATCATTTTATGCTACCACCTCCCTAGTGTTTTCTCCCTTCTGTGTGAAATACATATTATATGAATGACATCACCTGTGTCTAGGTTATTTTTCTCTGATAGCCCTCCTAGGGAAAAGGATATTCCTGAAAGAAACAAGAAGGAAAAGAGTGGATCGATACCATCTGCTCCAACCTCACATTCTAGAAGTTTAACTCCGCTCAACTCCTAGAAACTCCCTTATTTGAAAGTATAAATCTGTCCAACACCATGCAACAGTCTTGAGCCTGTTAAGGCAGTCTGGGATTTGGAAATTATTTACTTGGTGTATTATGAAGTGAATTTCTCTAAATTGCTAGAATATATCATAAGGAGAAGGCTCTTTGGATACTTTTGTCATAAGAATTTTTTGACCTTTTTGGTAGTCAAAGAAAAGCTTAAATAGACTTAATATCTAATAATATAGTTGGTTTTATACAGACACAATGGAGAGCAAAATTGCTTCTAAGAGATTCCATGCACCTCAACATTCATATATCTGTCAGTTTCCAATACAGATTTTATGTGTCCACTGTATGCAAATTGTGGCCAAAAAATGTTTCCACCCCTTATGCTACCCATGGGTTCCAAAGTTTAGTTTAAGGCTTTTTATGTAGCACACTATAAGAAATACATTACAATTCAGCCCTCAATAACACATCATTCCTTATCTCCCTTGTTCACAAAGAATTAAATTAATATTTTATCTAATTTTAGGAAAAAATAAATGACTTACCTCTAAAGATGAGTGACTCCAAATAAAGTAGCTGAACTAAAGCTTACTACAATTCTAATAAAGGGTAGAATTCAACATAATTTCATTTCTTTTTATATCCTATTTAAAGGATGTTTGTTATTGAATTTGACAAAATAATTCATTTTTAAGTCATGTTGTTTATAAGGCAGTCTCATGATACTAGCTCTGAGGAGCAAGTATATATTTAAAGCCATAATAGACTACCAAATGGCATATAAAAGCTTTTGTGAACATTTTATGTTTGCTTTAGAAGGCTGATCTGTTAAACCTGTGACAATTTTATTTATTTAAAAGAGTAAAACAGGAGATCAGTGGTACTATCCTTATATGGGTTAAGAAACTATTTATGAGTTGCACATAGAAATCTACCAATGTTAGATATGTGTATAATTCTTATTTTTCAATGTAGTTGGGCCGAGGAAATTGTCAGTTAATATATGTACTTCATATGCTGTAAGTGGATACCTAGGAAAAGGTATACAAAATATAAATAGTACTGTATATTTTCAAAAAAGTTAAATAAACACAAAGAATATATAGGTATACATGTTATAATTTCAAAGTCAACGCTAACACATAAGTTCTCTTATCTAAATACACACTAGGATACTTCCTATTTCAACACATGCACCTACAAACACACGGCCATGCACATAACCTTGCTTTCTGCCACTTGCAAGAAAGTTGGTATATACAATATAGTACACTGTTTCAACTTAAATCATATTGGAAAATTAATGAGGATGGTATTAAAAAATTCTGATCTAAGAAATCAACATGTAGGAAGATAATTATTCCACAGATTAAAAACACTGAAGACTGATGAGAAGTTAAGATTTAAATTGTCCCAGAAATCTCGAAAGATACCGAAGAGACAGGATTGCCTGTAAACACTTAGAATTATCTGTTTGGCAATTGGGATTTTTGAAATCTAGCAATTCAGGCCAGAGACTCAGACCATCGGTGCTTCAGATCGCAGAGAAATAGTAAAGCTTTGGGCAGTTCTCCTCAAGGCGGGGGGCGCCGATGGAGATCTCGACGCCCATCTGGATGGGAGACGGCGATTTGCCGGTCTAGCTGGACGGGAAAATCCTTTTCCATGCGAGCATTTCACTGCCATGGATTCCTACAACATCAAAGAAAACATTCACCTCACTATCCCAGCACTAACATTGGGCTTGATATTTTATGAATCCCAACAATGGGATTGATGTATTAGCATATTTATAAGCAAGAAAAAGCATCAAAAACTAATGGCGATTATCTAATATTTGTGATCTTGAATGTTTTAATCAAAGCAATTCACTTATAATAAGAAATATGACATTTAATAATCTCTTCACATTGACAAATGTTAACAAAACTGATCTCTTTTTAGATCTAAAGTTCAGTATTTAGAAGTTCATGTTAGGTAACTTTGATATAATGGAACTGCAGATGTTTCTTGGTGGAATTTCATAATGTTTCAGTGTTATTTGAAAACAAGATAATTTATAGAAGAAACTTCATTTTTCTCAAGTTACTGACATTTTTAGAGGCCATGAGCAAAAAGCACACAAACCATCAAGTGATTTACCTGGTGCTTTCTTTCTTCTCCACTAAGAGCCACTGTTACAAGTTCTCAAAAATTTCAAAATTGCTAATAGATACTATCAATATTGGGCATCATTTGATGACAATATTTTTCCTTTCCTCTCCTTTCCTTTCTTTCACTTCTTCCTTCTTTGCTTTTTTATTTTAATGGAAGAAAAGCATTCTCAGACCCTTGCAATTAAAAAGAAAATTAAAAAGCTTATGTGACCCATTTTATAACTTAGGTTGTTACTGACCTTTTTAACAAAGCCTTTGCTCTTTTATCTGGGATAGGCAGTGAGGATGGCCTCAATTTCTATGACAGTAACCTGCATTTTCTTTTTCTTTCATTGGAATTTATTTTTTTGGAAAGAAGAGGGGTCCTAAGGATCCACAGTAGAGGACTCCTCCCAAGCCTCCAATCAATGCAAAAATGGTAAATACTTAGTAATAGTTCTTGTTAGCTAATGAAAATTTGGCTGGTTATTGTATACACTACGGGCCTGTGCCCTCTCACAGTCTGGGAGCCCTCGGGGGAAGTCCTACTTAGCACTGCCCCCATGGGAGTGCACTGACCACCAGGGGGCAGCTTCTGCATTGAACATCTGACCCCTGGTGGTCAGTGTGCATCATAGCGACCAGTCGTTCCGCCGTCGGGCTGAAACCAGCTCTCCGACATCCCCCGAGGTGTCCCAGATTGCGAGAGGGTGCAGGCCAAGCCGAGGGACTCCACTGGTACACAATCAGGGCCGGAGAGGGATGTGGGAGGTTGGCCAGCTGGGGAGGGACTGCGTGAGGGCTCCAGGGTGTGTCTGGCCTGTCTTGCTCAGTCCTATCGGCTGGACCCCAGCAGCAAGCTAACCTACAGGTTGGAGTGTCTGCCCCTGGTGGTCAGTGCATGTCATAGCGACTGGTCGACTGGTCTACTGTCTGCCCCCTGGTGGTCAGTGCACGTCGTAATGAGTGGTTGAGCGGCCTTAGCATGTCATTAGCATATTATGCTTTGATTGGCTGAACGGCCGACTGGATGACCAGACACATAGCATATTAGGCTTCTATTATATAGGACTAGAGGTCTAGCGCATGAAATTGTGCACGGGTAGGGTCCCTAGGCCTAGCCTGCAATTAGGACCATCTTCCGCCCGCTTGCCAGTCCCCAGTCCCGCCCTGCCACCGCCACCCACCCAGGTTCTGGGTGGTTCCCTGTTCGCCATCTGGCAATTGGAGCCTGTGGGCCGGGGGGAGGGACCAAGAGGTCGGCCGTTCCACCTGCTCGCCAGTCCCCAGTCCTTCCCCGCCGCCACCCACCCCAGTTTCCTGTTTGCCATCAGGCTATCGGAGCCTGTGGGCCTGGCGGGGAGGGACCAAGAGGTGGTCAATGCACCTCATAGCAGCTGGTCAAGTGGTCGTTCTGGTCATTATGCCTTTATGGTTGCTGCATTTTTATTATATGGGATGTTTCCATTCCCACCTGAAGCTACAGGTCCTTACAGGTATTTATGGGCTCACCTAAAAAAGGTACAGCCTGGCAAGCATGGCTCAGTGGTTGAGTGTTGACCTATGAACCAGGAGGTAAAGATTCAATTCCTGGTCAGGGCACATGCCTGGGTTGCAGGCTTGATCCCTGGTGTGGGGCATGCAGAAGGCAGCTGATCAGTGATTCTCTCTCATCATTGATGTTTCTATCTCTCTCTCCCTCTCCTTCTCCCTTCCTCTCTGAAATCAATAAAAATATATTAAAAAGTAAATTAAAAAAAGTAAGATACATATGTGCACCCCATGTTCATTGTAGAGTTATTTATAATAGCCAAACTATAGAAGCAACCCAACAGACAAGGTAAAAAGGCTGTGGTACATTACACAATGGAATATTATTCAGCCATAAAAAAGAATGAAATCTTACCATTTGTATGGATAAACCTAGAGTACTCTAAGTGAAATAAGTCAGTTGGTGAAAGACAAATAGCATATTATTTAACTTACATGTGGAATCTAAAGAATAAACTAAATGAACAAACAAAACAGAAACAGACTCATAGATACAAAGAAGAGACTGATGATTGCCAGAGGGGATGGGGTTGGGGAACTGGGTGAAAAAAGGTGAAGAGATTGAGAAATTCAAATTAATAGTTACAAAACAGTCATGGGGATGTAAAATACAGCATTGGAAAAAAAGTCAATAACATTGTAATAACTATGTCTGGTGCCAGATGGGTACTAGAAATATTAAGGGGAACACTTTGTAAAAGTATATGATTGTCTAACCAGTATGCTGCACACTAGAAACTAATACAAAGCAATATTGAATGTAAACTGTAATTTAAAAAAAAAATTTTAATGTAAGAAAAAACAAAGATACAAAAGCAGGATAATCATTTGTACATTGTGCAAACTTGTACAAGGTCTCTGATAAAATGAATGAAAACTGATATTTTTGTAGGGTTTGAAAGCCACCTAAAATATATTTTTTTACACAAGAAGGAAGTAACCTGCATAGCTTAGAACTATGCTGCCTACATACTGCATTATGTAAAACAAGAACTTTTAAAGCATTAGCTAATTATAATAACATGGCACCTTGTAAGCTTTTGTAAATTATGCATACAAGGGGACTATTGGATAACTCTTCTTGGTAAATACCAATCTCTTCTTCCACATCTTTTTCACCTATAACTAATGAAGATTATATATACTCTTGCAAACTGTCTGGAACAAAAAAAGAATACCATTTATTCAAATACTTTTTTCTGGGGGGGGGGGGGGCAACTTCCATGCTAAGAATTTATACAAATAAGAATGACCTTAACATTTTTTAAGTTATAATGTCATTTTTTATTTCAATGTACTGCCTGCTAGCTCCACAAATAAGAGAACTTTATAAGATGCTACTTTAAATATGTTTTGCCCATATTCTCATTTAGGAGATTAATCCCATGAGAAAAAAACATGAATCAAATGCTGGGAATGACTGAACCATTCATTGTTAATAACTAAAAAGCACAAGCTATTTTAAAAATATTTCCCACATACTTTAAAAGAATGAAATTCTATAAATCAACAAATGCATACTCAGAGTACCTTTTCAAAAAACTTAAAACAAACATTTGCACTTCTGGATGTTCTTAAGCCTATTCTATATATATAAATGGCTAATATGCAGTGTCCCCTCCGGAGTTGGACCAGGAGATCAGGAGTTCGATTGCTCGCTATGACCACCAGGGGGTGGCGCGAATCATGGAGGGTGACCAGTGGTGGCAGAGTGCTGAGGGAGGGAGGGAGGGAAGGGGGAGGCAGAGAGGCAGGGAACCCAAGTGGCCCTGATCGCCAGCCAGGCTAGGGACCCTATCTGTGCATGAATTTCATGTACCGGGCCTCTAGTTTATTATATTTGTTAGCCCATTTCAGAATTTTAAAAAGTTATAATGTGCTAACCCCAGTTTTGAAACTACATTTTGAAAAGTTCATTTGAGTTACAATTAAGGTTCATAGTTATTAACAAGTGAAGGATCAAAAAGTTAAGATGCCAAAACATATGCCCGCATTCTATTTATATGAATGCAAGGGACTGAGCCCTGAGCCATGGCTAAATACGAATGCAGTTCTACCAAAGTATGATCATTGCTTTCTCACCTCTGTTATCTTTTTCCAGTCCACTCCTTGCTTCACTTGTTGTGCCCTACACAGAGCTGTTTTTCCTTGAAGCTCTTGTTCAATTTGGAGCATTTCTAAATGCTGACTTAATGTGGCCCCAACACTGACATCAGAATTACATTTGGTCCAATTATCCTGGCAGCATTTAGAATTTTGCAATACGGGCCCTGTTGATGTCTCATAGGTTTTCAGCAGCTTTTCCACAACACCGTAATTCGACCTAGGATCAGCTGATCTTGGTCGGCCAGACAAATTGCCAGGTCTCCAGTCATGCTCGTGGAGCATATTCCGATAACTACTGGGACTTATGTGCTCCTGTGTTTGTCTGACTGGGCCTGTTGTGGATTTTTTGGTGGGATTATCAGGCACATTTTCTCTAGGCACGGGCACGTGGGCACTGGTTTTCAGAATACCAGACACACTGTCATTTTCTGGTATGTTGCCCATACGAGTAATGAAGGTATCACAGGGCTTAAGATCTTGAGACGATTCTGAGTAGCTTTGGTTTTGCTGTACTGCACGACAATTTCTATCTGTTCTGAACACGGTTCTATTAAATTCATCAGTCTTTGCTGCCAGCGTTTCATTCCTAGTAGTCTTTTCAAAGCCACAACTGAAACTTCTAAGTGGGCCACTGCTCTGTGTCACCAAGGAACTATAGTCATTGCCAACATGAAGGTCAGAGTGAAATTTAGCAGGATGATCTGGGGTCATCTTTTCATATTTTGACCTATTGGGAGTAGAACAGGTTTTCTGAAACCACAAGGCAGAAGGGCTATTTTTTGTGCCTATCACTGTGTCGTAAGACCACATGCCACATCCAACATCTTCACTACATGGAGGCTGGTTATCCATTTTGGCTTCAGATGCCAAAGAAGAAAACATGATATCATCTTTCAAAGTCTTCCCTTCATTTAGACACAGTGTAGGCATCTCATCATGCCTCAGGGGGACATGAGGACTGCAGTTCCTTTCACCTTGACCCTCTTGGACCACCTGGCTACTGTGGCCTAAACTTTCCTTCAAACTTTCATGGGCTTGTTCAGGATACACACTGGGAAAACTTCGAGATGTACTTCTTGGAGGAGGAACTGGTGGAGTTTCATTTCTTTGTATTGGATCAATTGTATCAATTCCACATGTTTTCATAAAACTGCTTTGGAGCATGTCAGTACAACTCAGATTCTTTCTATTTTTCTGTTTTTCTTTTCCTAAACTGATCGGAAGAACACACTGGCCATTGTTGATCCCGTGGTCTCCAGGGGACATGTTCATTATATGCGGCATTTCCTGGAGAGAAGAATCTGACTTCATCCTAAACAGTGATAAAGTATGATATAACAGTGAAAACTTTATTTAGGATAAGCTCAAAACAAAAACAAACATGGCTTAAGCAATGGATTTCTGCTATAGGAAAAGGAGTCACAACTTCCTGAAGCATCGTTTTTTACATAAATCGTCTAGTCAAAGCCTCTAAGTCTTTTTTACTGTACGACAAAGCCCACCTCTCAGTGCTGCATTCAAGGCTCTGCTTACTGTGACCCAAACTATCCTTGCAACCTTGTCTCTCATTTTTTTCTATTTCCTAAAACTTCACCTATACTCAGACTCTTGAATATTCCCATTTCTACAGGTTTTCTCTAGGTATTTCCTTACCTCTGCTCTGCCTGCTGAATTCCTATGCATTATGTCACCTGAGCCCTTGAATTTGAAGTAATATTCTAAGTAGTGTGACAGAAATCTGAATAAAAGCACAGCAAGACCTGGGTAATACCAAATGGAAGGTGTCATTTGGGCTTGAAATAAAAATAAGAATTTTTGGGGTGAGTAAAGGGCAGGTCGGAAAGTGAGCTGCAGTAAAAGCAGTGTGGCTACTCAAAAAACAGTGAGTACTTTGGTGTGGATGGATTATAAAGCTGAGTGGGGAGAATGATGGAAAATAAGTGAGAAACATTAGGTAATTGTTAAGGTTTTGAATTACATGTTAAGGATTTTGAAATTTTCCCTAAATGCCATGAAGTAATAAGGAGAATTTTATACTGATTTGTAAAAGAAAATTGGCAAGTAAGTCTTTTCAGAGTTCATCAAAATAAAAAACTACATATAGCAACATGGGGATTCACAAATTAAAGTTAATCATATTGACAAAATATAAATCATATTTATAACTCTTCAACTTATAAAATATTGTCTGCTAGCTCACAATAAAGTACAGATAAATACTAATTAACAGAGAGTAGTAGACAAAAGCTAAATGGGCAAGTAGAGAGCAAAATTATGGATAAAACAAGGTTGGAGAAAATATATTGTAAGTCAGTACAAAAATTCTCTCTGAGCTTCCTAAGAGCTCAAGAGAAATAAGGGTACACACATTGCTATAGCTTTTTTGTTGTTGTTAATGCTCACCTGAGGATATTTTTCCATTGATTTTTAGAGAGAGTGGAATGGAGGGGGAGAAATAGAGAGAAACATCAATGTGAATTGGTTGCCTCCTGCATGGACCTGACCAGGGCCAGGGATCAAGCCTGCAACCAAGGTATGTGCTTTTGACCAGCATCGAACCTGGGACCCTTCAGTCCACGGGCCAACACTCTATCCACTGAGCCAAACTGACTAGGGCCATTGCTATAGCTTTCTAAGAGAATTATCCTGCCTCACCTGGAGATAAATGTTGATCCTAGGACAACCCATCTTTACCTAACTTGTAGAAAATTCCAATTTATTTTTTAATTTGGCTAAAACTTGCTTTTACAATTATAGAGGTATTTCTGAATTGAAACACTATTTTTATAGCACTGTATAAATGTGTGTACATATTTTTAGTATGTTCTGAAAATTATGTATGCTTCCATTAAACACATAATAAACTAGAGGTCTGGTTCACAAGTTCATGCACAGTGGGGACCCTCAGCCTGACTGGTGAGCAAGGCCTATTGGGGGGTCAGCTGGCTGGGATAAGGGACTGCGGGAGGTTGGCTGTGGGAGTACACTCACCACCAGGGGGCAGCTCCTGCGTTGAGTGTCTGCCCCCTGGTGGTCAGTGCGCATCATAGTGACTGGTCAACCGGTCGTTCGGTTATAACTGTCGCTTAGGCCAGTGGTTCTCAACCTTCCTAATGCCGTGACCCTTTAATATAGTTCCTCATGTTGTGGTGACCCCCAATTTCATTGTTACAAATTGAACATAATTAAAGCATAGTGATTTAATCACAAAAACAATATGTAATTATATATGTGTTTTCTGATGGTCTTAGGTGACCCTTGTGAAAGGGTCGTTCGACCCCCAAAGGGGTCGCAACCCACAGGTTGAGAACCGCTGGCTTAGGCTTTTATATATATAAATGTAGAGAAATAAATGACCCTTAGGTATAAAACATTTTAGTGCAACATCATTATGTAATTAAAACACAATGTTGTTAAATCTGACATAGTTTAAGATGTATTGAACTGGATTAGCCCAGTTGTATACTCTTCCATTGGCTAAATATTCAAAATGAGGAAAAAAAATAACTTCTTTAGAAGATACTTGGTACTTTATGATGGATGGCATCCCTTAACTAAACACCAAAAGAGTAAAGTATTCCTAATAGTCAAATTACAAAGAGAATTAGAAGACCTGTTTTAAGAATTACCAAATAGGGAAATATTCAATTAAAGATGTTATCACTTATCTAAGACAACAGATTTTAATAACTCATTGCTAATTATCACTAACAAAGTGTATGGAATTCACTGACCAGAAGCAGTATTTTTCTTGACTTCCCAACATAAAATAAACATAGATGTCCCAGCCTACCTTCTATGGTTAGACCGCTTTCGGATTTCCTCTTGGAAGCTGCATAATTCTTCACTGACTTTGGCAAGTTCTTCAAGAGCCTTTATGTATATAAGCAATAGCATGTTAGCACTTTGAAATGTAAATAATTCTTTAGAAACAGTTCTAGGCCAGTCATGTTACTTACTGTGTTGAGGGCGCCAGAACAGCTCTTGCTCGCTTCCTCCGAAGTCCTCAGGTCAGACCAGGCCTCACGTTCCTTTTGCCTGTCTGTGGCCAGGGGATCCATAAACCCTACCTTTAATTTTTTGGTTGCTTTTTGTTCCTTACACACTTGATTTCCTTCACTGAGTAAGCTCTGCTCCGTTTTATTGTCTTTTTCCATACCATCCCTGTGATTCATCCCTGTAGATTCGCATGGTCCTGAATTGGGGTAATTTGGAGAAGATCCCACCACTTTATCTTGCATGGCCTTCTCACGATCAAGATCAATGACCTTGGCACGTTCACTCATGTTGATTTTCCTCCGAAGCTGTACTTCATGGCAAAGCTATAAGGAAAACAAAGGCAAGACTTTTTTCCCTCCTTAACTTACTTTGTCATATTTTTTAAGCTAAGCACACTATTTTGAGTTGTCTTTGCTATATGACTATATACCACCCATGGTATTAATGCTTATGCCTCTGAATAGTGCTTCTAAAATCTTAATTAGCCTGGCTGGTGTTGCTTAGTGGTTGAGCGTCGACCTATGAACCAAGAGGTCACTGGTTTGATTCCCCATCAGGGCACATACCAGGGTTGCAGGCTCAATCCCCATTAGGGGGCGTGCAGGAGGCAGCCGATCAATGATTTTCTCTCATCATTGATATTTCTATCTCTCTCCCTCTCCCTTCATCTCTGAAATCAATAATATATATATATATATATATATACACATATATATATAGCAAAAATAAAATAAAATCTGAATTAGCTGGAAAACTTTGATAAACCATAAAGACTACTTTTCATGGGCCAATGCACAGATGATAATTTCTGCTTTTCTGATTAGAAAGCAACTCAGTCAAAATTAAATCAAACTGTATCTACATATAGATACTATACTACAGAAGCATTGTCACAATAGTGGAATGACCTGAATCATTTACTGGTCATGCTCTCTCATTGCTTTCAGAGAGAAGCAAGAGTTTAACTAACATTAAAGGCATGTTTTTAAATACATGATCCCCTTGTATACTGACCTTTAACTGTGCAAATAGTTGACAATCTCATAGAGTCAGTTTATTCTATCCCCTAAGTAGACATTTTACAATCAAAGAATGTTTCCACTGGAAGTTATATTGGTGAGGGCTAGTTAATATTGAGGTTTTTTTTTAAAATGCCAGGTTATAAACATTAAAAAAAGTTTTTAATCCTGATTAAGACAAATGTGAACCTGTCCTATGTGATATAAAAGAACTCTAAGGCTTTGATCGTCTATTAATCTGTTAAGTGGACCCGAATTATTTCTTTTTTAAAAAATTCTCACTTGAGGATGTTTTCATTGATTTTTAGAGAGAAAGGGAGAGAGAGAGAAGAAGAGGGAAAATCATCGGTGTGAGAGAGAAACAGATCAGTTGCCTTCCGAATGCATCCTGACTAGGAATCAAACCCTCAACCTAGGTATGTGACCTGACTGGGAATCGAACCCACCATCTTTTTGGTATACAGGACAATGCTTCAACTAACCAAGCCACCCAGACTGGGCCCCCATGTTGTTTCCTGTTGAGAACTTAGTTTAACCTGCAGGCACTCATTCAGCTCACCTCTGAATAAAGGAAATAAGTGGCTTTCTCTTCTGGCTTGAGTTCTGGGAAAGCTTGTCAAATTTCAAAGGAGGCGATCAAATAACCATTAAAACAAATGACTACATTTTACAGCCACCACCTATATTGCACTACATCTATTATTTAAGGAATAACAGATTTATTGCTGCTCAATATTTACCTGAATCTCAGATGAGAGGGCACTGTATATAGTTGACGCCTGAAGGTTATACAGTGCATTTATTTCCCTAGATATTTAGAAATCTACTAGAGGCCCGGTGCACGAAATTCATGCACTTGCGGGGGTGGGGTGGGGGGGGAGGTGGTCCCTCCTCCCCCTTGCGCCCTCTCGCAGTCTAGGAGTCCTCAGGGGATGTCTGACTGATGGCTTAAGGGCCTAAGCCAGCAGTTTGGACATCCTTAGCACTGCCGCAGAGGTGGGAGAAGCTCCCACCAGAGCCGTTGAGCTCACCAGCTGTGAGCCCACCTTCTGTCTGAGCGGTGCTCCCACTGACCACCAGGGGGAAGCTCCTGCATTGAGCGTCTGGCCCCTGGTGGTCAGTGTGTGTCATAGTGACCGGTTGTTCTGCCGTCAGGCCAAAACCAGCTCTCTGACATCCCCGAGGAGTCCCGGATTGTGAGAGGGCACAGGCCAGGCCAAGGGACCCCACTGGTGCACAATCGGGGCCTGGGAGGGACCGCGGGAGGGCTCGAGGGCATGTCCGACCTGTCTCACTCACTCCCAATTGGCCGGACCCCAGCAGCAAGCTAACATACCAGTTGGAGTGTCTGCCCCCTGGTGGTCAGTGCATGTCATAGCGTGCAGTTGAGCGGCCTTAGCATATCATTAGCATATTATGCTTTGATTGGTTAAACAGTCTCTAATTATACATTACATGCCTGCCTTCTCACATCTACCTTCGAGGGATAGTTTAATAGCTACATTTTTAAAAATGTTTTCTTGTAGCATGCCAATTTGTATTTTATTCACAACCAATTACATGGCTGTTAATATAAAAATATTTTCACTACAAACACATAAAGCACCAGCTTTTATTGTCTCAGAATAAAGGCCAAGGAATCTATGAAAATAATTGCTTTGGCAATGTGCACCAAATCATATAAGTCAAGACCATCGACGTTACCAGAAGAAAGCAAGGTAAGTATGAATACTTTTTGGTTGTAACAAGCTTAAATACACATCAATGTAAATGCTTAAAGGGAATATTCTGGGCTCAACATGCTGAGGGAAGGTTAACAGGGGAATAAATGACTATCAGATTCACAGCATGTCATTTTTCATTGCCATGGTAAATGGGGCATACCCTACCAGAATAAGTATCATGTCCATTGCCATTTTCTGTTTGAGATATGGCACTCTTTCTGAATTTACTGAATTATCTAATATGTAATTTCCTTTAATAGACATTATTCATAAATCGTCACAGGAAAGATCTGCATTTTAATGCTCAATTGTAATTTAGCTAATTTGTTTTACCAATTATGTCTTTCTTACATTTTCCTCCTGAACTCAGTATTTGAAAATCATAAAAAATACATACCTTACTTTTGATACCAAAACACTCTAGTCAGAAAATAATAAAATGATACACTTTAGAGCAGTGGTTCTCAACCTTCCTAATGCCGCGACCCTTTAATACAGTTTCTCATGTTGTGGTGACCCCCAACCATAAAATTATTTTCGTTGCTACTTCATAACTGTAATTTTGCTACTGTTATGAATCGTAATGTAAATATCTGATGTGCAGGATGTATTTTCATTGTTACAAATTGAACATAATTAAAGCATAGTGATTAATCACAAAAAAATACGTAATTATATATGTGTTTTCCAATGGTCTTAGGCGACCCCTGTGAAAGGGTCATTCAACCCCCAATAGGGCGACCCACCGGTTGAGAACCGCTGCTTTAGAGTGACATTTCAAGTTCTTAATTTTCATGTCAGGCTATAAAATAAGCCTAGAACGTCTGATACCATTGGGTAAGGTTACACTATTTTTGGTGTAGTAAATGTCACTGAGACAAGCATCTCTTACGTGGGATTCAGAAAATAAAAATAGTTTGTAATATTAAAAAACAAAACACCTTCAACAGCATTTTCATTCTGAGTTTTAAGTTTCAAATGTATTCAAAACAAATCAGCTTGTACCTCTTCTATCTTCTTCTGCATGATCTTCCATTGGGTCTCCCATTCCTTCCTTTCATTGTCAAACTGGTCCAGTAACTCCATCTTTTCCTTGTGCCAGGCAGTCCCTGTGTTCTCCCACTGCTTGTGCAGGTCCATGGCAACCACGTGAGTGTGAGTGAAGCGGTGTTTCTGCTCGTCTCTGCCTTCTCTTAACTGTTTCTTGGAAGCTTAGAGTTGTTTTATTTGAAGCAGTCTCACTTGCCTTTAAAATAAAGCCTGATATAAACACAAGAAGAGAGAGTTCCAAACCCATCTGCTTTCTGGCAACATTTTATCACTTTGTCAAGAGCCATCGACATAAATTATAGGAAAATTGGACTTAGAAGAAAAGAGATGGCAATCTACTTAAAAAGAAACAAACACAGTCAAAAAAATAAGTATTGTCTAAAGTTTTTTCTACCCCTTCCTAAGACTAGACAGCAAAATTATAGTGGACAAGATGGTTAAATGTATATGTGAGATATAAGGGTTCCTTTAACTAACCGCCTAATCCAAACATAGAATTTTTCATGACTATCGAAGAGTGGAAGCCTAAAATTCAATTGCCTGGGCACATCTACACAACCATGGTAGATTCTGCTGCAATGGAATTACTCCTTCTGTTTGGATTATACAACCAGATTATAATATTTCTGTGACTTGAAGTCCTGAGGCAGTGCTGACCTAGAGTCTCAATTTTATATTCAGAGTTCAAGCCCATCCCAAATGTGATTACTGCATTAATAAGACCCCAAAGTTGGTAAGTCAATCTAGGACTGGTATATTAGCAAGAAACCAAACTAAATCACACAAAAAGTATGTTCATTATTTTACTTCAAGAAAAATGTAAAAGCAGCAAAACTATTCTGAGAGTCAAATGGTAAAATGTATCCATGCTCTCTTTTCCTTCTAGTAGATTACAAATCAGAACCTTTTCTGGATACTAAATAGAGAGAGTTAAAGAAAACATTTTGCACAGCTTGCAGGGAAACCCTCGATCACATTAAACAGTACCTAAAATAATTAAATTTCTAGCATTTAGGGCATGTGTACTTAGGGTTTAAACATGTAATTTAAATATCAGATTAGGTCCAGCCAGCAATGCTCAGTGGTTAAGCACTGACCTATGAACCAGGAGGTCAAGACTGGATTCCCATCAGGGCACATACCCAGATTTTGCCGCTCAATCCCCAGTGTGGGGCATGCAAGAGGGAGCCGATCAATGATTCTCTCTCTCTCTCCCTCTCTGAATTCAATAAAAATATTTTTTAAAATACCAGATTAATAACTCTGTTACAAGTCATCTAAAATTTCTGAGATTTAGTTTATTTCCATTAAAATGGGGCTAATCACAGGGTTGTTCTAAAGATTAAATGACATAGGAAATGCATAGTAGTTTGAGAAATTTAAAAAATTTTCCTTATTTTTTGCTTTAAAAATCTGGCTCTGGCTTTCACTGAAAAATTTTTTATTAATGAAGTCATATAGTACATGTTTAATGGGTAGAGAAGTATGTTTAAAATGTTTGAATCTCAGTCTAAGAAAATTGTGCCTATAAGAAACCTAACTCTTCAGGTTTCTAGGCCATGACCAATATGTCTCACCTTAGCAGGTGACACTTTATGCTAATGACAAGCAATGTTCCCAAGAGTTAATAGCTGCCTGGGTGCTGGAATTGTGGGCTGAAGCCAACATACCCACGCAGCACGCGCATTTCATTGAACAGAAGACAGCTGCATATCATAGCGCAAATATAAGATAAAAGTTGAAGCCTAATTTAAATCTTTGTCAAACTGTTCTGAACACATATCTGAGTGGTAAACTGTTCCAAGCATGTACTGTCTGAGTTACTATCTAGCAATGAACTATAATAGACTAATAAGGATAAAAATGTTAGTGCTACACATAGCACTCCACCTTCAAAAACACCCTAATAATAGTGGGATCTGTATTATTATTTTTTTCTCAAACAATTTGCTACAGATACTTGGATCATTTTTACCTATTTCTGTGGCACATTACCCTGACTAATGCACTGAAGAAAAAGAAGTAACTTCATATTGAACTATTAAAGATTCATCCAATTAGCCATGCTTTTCTTCTAACCTCATTTTCCACCCTCTGACATCCTTCCTTCCCTTTTCCACCCTCTACACCTATAAGCCAAGGATCATAAGTATCTGCCATAGCAAATATAAGCTGACCCCAACCAAATACATCAATGAAGACCTAATAAAATGAAGACAGTAAAGAATATACAGAACTTTGGTTTCTGTTTTGGTGAATCTGTCACTGGTTTTGATCACGTGGTAATCTTTTAGGTTCATCTAAGCTATGCACAGGATATGCAGACAGTGATTATTTTTCAGAGTCTAGCAGACCGCCTGAAAGCTGTATGTAATCAACTGTGAGCTTAAACTATCTTGCTTACTAGCAGGTATTTAACATTGGGAGTTCTTAGGAAGCGTGGAGTGGCTTAAGACATTAAGAGAGCGTTATACATTTAACCCAAATCATAGGAAGGGGGCAAACTAATTTCAAACCACCTGGAAAAGATGTGTTATGATAGTCTGTATTTCATCCTGGTGATCTTTAAACACTGGGATTGTTCAGAAGTCACCATAAAGTTGTTCCTACAATTATATGGCAAGTGGCTTCAATTTTTCTTTCTATTCCCAACTCTCCTTGAACCACTTGCAGACCAGGGTTAAAAGGTGACACACCCTTTTCTCTTTCACCTAACTGAAGATCATCCAGGCAAACGCTAAATCAGGTTGCTCCTGGTAGGAAGCCGACACATGAACCCAGATGCATGTTTCCAAAGCAGACATAATTCTGCACTCAATCGCAAAGAGCCAAACTCATCACTTACTATGGAGAAGGGCCAGTCTACAAAGCTTCCCAGAGCCAGAACAATTCTTAGCGCCAGGAAATGTAATGGTTATGGAGCAAAAACAAGCCTTAGAAAGAAAATTCCTATAGAGCAGTATCTGCGCCAATTCTGGGGGGAGGATTTATCTTGCCCTCTTAGCATCTGTCTTATAAATGTCAAATGTAATATGGTCGAACATAGTGCTATCAGCTCTAAAAATAAAGTGTGGGGCATAGAGTTTTGAGGATCAAGTGAGCAAGAGAGAGAAAAAAAAGCGTTAGGATCATAGCAGGTGTTTGATAAATGCCTGTTTCTTGGTTTCTTCTTTCTATCCCTTTCTCCCTCTGTCTTTTTCTTGTCTTCCCTCCCTTGCTCTTTTCCTCCCTACATCTATCCCTCTCTGTTTTTCCCCCTAAAATAAAATTGATGGGTTTGATCTTTATTTAATTAGATAATTGATAGAAGCAAGTCTAATGTGTGAACTCTCATATTTTCAATAATTTTCCTGTGAACTCAGTAGTTTTATAGTATTTCAAGGATTCATGGAAGGTTAAAAGTTTAGAAAAAATTTTTATTAGTAAATATTTGAATAAACAAATCTTCTATAAAGCTGCTTTTGTTATTATTCTCCTTAAATACATATTTTATAAAAATCCAACTAATGAGGCAACTTTGTAGGAACATAATGTTCTATAATGAGAAGTTATGGGATAGAGTGGTTCACCAGATTCAAACACTCAATTTCAGTGTTCAACTGAGGCCAATATAAAAGTTCTCTTTGTCCCTTATTGTCACTCTTTTTCGCCCACGGATATTGGCATCTATGTGGGAGAGAAGGAAGGATTTCTGCTATGTGTACCCCTCCTTATTTCATTTCATTCCTCCCAGAATTTCATTCAGAATAAAAACTTATTAGGGCAAATGTACAAGAGTAGAGTGAGCTGCACTACTTAGTCATGCATAGGCTCTTCCCCCAACCACTCTAAGACAGCATTACATAATCCATTCAAGCTACACCCCCTCCCCAAGGCTGCAAGCCAGAGTTGCAGAGCTGTGTGTGGGTTGCATAAGTAGGGTGATGGGAGGGAAATAGTTCTGTTAACCTTCCGGCCCTGTGCTAAGACTCACACAGGAATCTCACGATAAATCATTTTCATTTCCTAAATTAGCCTCAACTGGCCATGGTACCACTTCTTTGTCTGAGGGCAGCTCCATCCCTGCTCCTCCTGGTCATCACTACCATTTCAGCTTCCCCAGTGGAAACTGGACATTAGCCAAGCAAATGAAAGTGTTAGAGAACTTGACTCCAATGCTCCTCTCTCCTGAGATTTTCGTTCGGAGTATTTGTTCCTTGCTCTCCTATTTCCTCTTTCTAAACATGTTCCTTTTCATATCGTGGATGATGTTTTCATTGTAGGAGCTTACAAATTCCAATAGGAATACCACACACAGTAGGTACCGTCAATCTCACAACTCCTACAATCATTTGCACGGGGGTTGCTCAGTTTCCTCTTAGCTTTGAGAGATGAGACATTCCCTCGTCAATACCCATCAGAGTAATGCACCACTTACCCTGAAGATTCTCTAGCCCTATATCTCCAGGCCATTATAAATCGCTTGCATCATTTCAGCTAACTAACAGACCTTGTTCTTCCCGATTGTTCACTGGCAAATGCATCTTTCCAAAGACAGCCACGATTTGATTTTGTTACAGGGCAAAGGGGAATAATTTTTCTTGCTGTTTCAACATGTTCCTTGTGTTCCAATAAGGTCAAAGAGATACTACCACATGCAATTCTGAAGTAATCAATTTTGCCTTCTCGTTTTATGATCTTTTCTCCTTCCTTGTTTTCTCTCCAGTTATATACTCAAACTACAAAATATCCAAGATATAGGTGTAGTAATTTTACATCTCTCATAAAATAAAGCTTTGAAAGAAACTGTTGGCTTAGTTGGGTACACAAATATCTAAAATTAACCCGCTTAAACAGAACATGTGGTGGTAAAGTTCCTACCTAACCACAGATTAACCCCTTATGCATGGCACATTCTTCAACTCAAATTACAGAAGCACTTATCATGCAGTGAGCAAACCATCATCTTGGATGAAACTACATTTATTTATTATGTTTCATTGCAATTTGTGAACTTTACTTGGCAAATGGTAAAAAAAAAATCTCCACCCTACTGAAAATAGCATGCTAGTAAATACAGTCAGTGAACTCCGTGGTAGGCAAGGTGCTATTCGAAGTACTGAGAGGCAGTGTTTGAAAAACAGTGTCTGAGAGCGGATGGCACTGTCAGTCCAGAGTTGGGAAATCCGCTCACAGCAGCTGAAGCCTCTGTTACCCGGGAGTCAGTAAAA